TGTGCAAAGTGCTTTCTATATGTTATATCACTTTTTTTTCCCCTCACAACTCTGGAAAGTTATATGCTATCACGTTCATACATATTTTACAGATGAGGAAACTGAGGCAGAGAGAAGACAAGTGACTTGTCCAGGGTTAGATAGCTAATATCTGAGGCAGGATTCAAACTCAGGTCTTCCTAACTCCATGTCCAGCACTTTATCCACCATATCTCCTAGCTGTAGAAATGGCATGGTAAGATAGAATCATATGAAGTAAATGTAATTCATACTCAATTTATCTCCAATCTGATTACAAGCACAGTTGTATTATTATCAAAAAAAGGTGGCTGTTTACCCAATCACAGGAGGGAATTCAGATGTGATCCAGTCCAACTGATCTGAACAGGATTCCCAAACCTAATACGAAGACCTGTAATGGTGGAAAAACCATTACTGCCCCTACCTCACCCCTACCACCCAAAGCATCTAAACCATCCTCTCTGCAACATTTTTCTTAGTCATAGATGGAGAGTTAGGGAGCCTTAGATGTTCGTGTCCCTTATCTTACAGATTCGGAAACTGGGGTCCTAGAGAAGTGAAATTATTTGCCCAAGATTATAGAGGTGTTAAAGGGTAGAGCTGGGATCTGAACCCATTTCCTTGGGTTCTAGATCCAATCCTTTTTAATCACATCATTTTGCCTCCACCTTTGTTCCTAGGTCTGCCCTCTGGATCCCAGGATCATAGACACGGAGTGGGAAGGACCCTCTGAAGCCATTGAGTTCCTCCCTCTCATTTTACAGTTGAGGCACTGGGGCCCAGAAAGGGTTAACAACACTGGTGACCTACTAATAGTAAGTAGTAGAGGGTATCTTAAAATACAGGTTTCCCAGATTCAAATCCAATGTTCTTTCAACTAACTTCATGACTCCAAGTTCCACCGTCTGGAGAAATCATTATTTACCATCTTTTCATTCAAATACACAGACTAGTGAACCACCATCTCATAAGGCTGGACAGTGCTTAATTCTCTCCTGAGGATCTGTTTGAGTAACCTCCCCTGCTTATGATCATTACATGTATATGAACAATGCCCAGACCTCTGCAAAACCACAATCACAGGAAATTCTCATCTAACAGAGCATTACTAGTTGTTTTTTTTTTTAAAATAACAATTCTATCAAGCATTTTAGTTGTAAGGCAGGTCAGTCCAATTATAATTGGATCCAATTAGCACATCCCTGAGTAATGGCACTAGTTCCCTGAAGCACAGGGCACTCAACTAGGTCAGGGACATTAGCTTCTTCAATGGAAAACACCAAAGGCACCCCTTCAAAACTTCTGTTTGTCTCTTCGTGACATCTTACTCTCAGGTTGCAGGATGGGTAAAGAGTTTTCCTAATAGGTGGGACTTTGGAGACCTGCTGCTTTATCCATCTATAGTAATAGCAAGAAAAGCTACCTACATCACTTTTAAAAGTCTGCAAAGTCCTTTCAAATATATTAACTCATTTAATCTTTAATCTTTGGAGGTAGGTGCTACTATTATTCCAATTTTACCAATGAGGAAATTGAGGCAGAGTGCCAAATGATTTGCCCAGGATTGTTGCACTAAGAAGTCTCTGAGGCTGCATTTGAATACAGATCTTCTTAACTCCAGGTCCAATGCTCTGTCTACTGTGCCTTAACAACAATCTTTAAAGCACGTACACACACACACACACACACACACACACACACACACACACACACACACTCCTTGAATATTGTGCCAGACAGCACTAATGCCATCCCTTCCAATTAGGTCTATGTATTATTTTATATATTTTTAAAATTTTTCCCCAGATTTTATTTCCATTGAGAAAATATCTTGAAATTATGCTGTACCTTGTATTATCTACAACAGTTGGGCTTCCAAATTAAGGCATCCATAGAAATAGCCAACCAAATGTTTGAGCCCTGAAGATGATCAATATCATATACTTAATTCTATTATGTCATGTGGCATAAGGTCAAATCTCTTAAGACTGTGATAATTAGGCCTAATTATTTCCCCCCATATGCTCCCTCAAGGTAGGTCTCACTCTGAGTAAATCAGCACCTCAAACAGCCAAGTCCTTGCTATTCACCATGTTTCCATTGGGTGTAGCTATGCTATTAGACAGGTTTCTATTGCAGCCTAGCCATCCATATGAGAAGGATGTTCACATGTTTGAGGCCTGAGCAAATTTCTTTGTCTCTACTAGTAAATGGCTTGTGTTAATTGCATATTTTCAGGGAGAAACATATTCAGTTCTATTAGTGAGGTAGAAGCTACTTCTCTGTTTCCTTTTGGAAAAGGAGTCTAGAAAATGTAGTCACATGTTGAAACCTGTCTCCTCCGCAATGTTCATTCCTATGTATCAATTTTATAGTTATGTAAATGAGCGATATAGCTGTCACTGTTTGGGTTGGGCTGTTCCAGATGCTTCTATGTAAATAAGCATATACCAAACAAAGTTCAGCAGAAGTCATGAACTTGGGGTAAACTGTCCTAATAAATAAGCACCTATTCTCATCAGCCAGCTCTTAGCTTTAGCCTGAGCTGAGCAAGATTTAAGACAGGGTCGGTCTGTCTGCTACAAAACTAAGCTTTTGGAAATTAAAAGAGGCCCCATCAATTGGGGGAATGGCTGAAAGAATCATGATATGAGGAGGTATATTACTGTGCCATAAGAGAAGATGAAAGGAGTGGGATCAGAGAAACCAGGGAAAACTAGTATGAATTGGGACATAGTGAAGTGAGCAGAACCAGGAGGACAACATTGTAAAGACAAGCAACTTTGAAAGAGATAAAGATTCTGATCAATTCACTGATGAGCTATTATTCGAAAGGACTTATGATGAACTAGGCTCCTTGCCCACATCCTAAACAACAGGTGGTAGACTCCAGATGCAGAATATGATGTACATTTTTGGACATGGCCAATGTGGGGATTTGTTTTACTTGACTACACATTTATTACAAAGGTTTTGCTTTTCCTTCAATTTGTACAGTGGGAGAGAGAGAGAGAAAATAAATGGTTTTTAATTGAAAGGTAAAATAAAATGACAGACAAAAAGTTGGGGGGAGAGGTGCCTTTTACTCTACTAATATGTATATGTCTCTATGGTGAGCAGGATGAAGGGGCTTCCTCTCTAATGGAGATCTGCAAATAGAGGTTGGATATCCACTTGTTTGCGATGATTGAGGGAAGAGTCTTATTCCAGGAAGGTGTTAAAGTATTCGGAGATTTCAAAATTACATAGTTAATTTGCAATGATAAAACAGAGAAAGAAGATGGATAGCCACAGATTTCCTGAGTATCCTGTAGCATGTTAATTAGTGATTGTCTGAGATGAAAGATAGAAGGAACCGTACAGGTTATATGTTCATGTTCTCATTTTGAAGAGGAGGCAAACTGAGGTCTGGAGAGGATCATAGGATTACTGATTGAGAACTGAAGGGACCTTAGAGGTCATCTAGTCCAACTCTCATTTTGGAGGTAAGGGTAAACTGAGTCACATAAATAAAGTCAAAGTAACTTGGCCTAAACCACCTACGTGGAAGAGCTAGGCTATGAACCCAGGTCCTCTAATGGCCAAACCACACCTCTTTTCATTGCACCAGGTAACTTATTTAGGATTTCCACAACCCAATTTTTGTGAGATCTTAATAGCTTTTTGTCTTCTGAGCAAAAAGACAGCTGGGTGGTATAGTGGGTAGAGTATTGGGTCCAGAGTTGTGAAGACCTGAGTAAACATCCAGGTTCATATACTTCCTAGCTGTGTGACCCTGGGCAAGTCTGACTCAGTTTCCTCAACTTCAAAATAGGGATGATAATAATAATAACTACTTGTAAAACTTTCTTTGGTTTTAGCTCAGTGCCTGGCACATAGTAAGCTCTACAGAAATATTATTATTACTATCATTATTCTAAAAACCCTCTAAAGTATATTGAATGAAGGGCTTCATCTAGACAGCCTTTCTTTCAGCTCTGAATATATGATTAAATGATCCTCTGCTCTCTGAAATGTCTACACCATACCTCCACTCAAATAGTTCTTATCAGTTTGACACTTTGCTTTGTGCTTAACATCCATATGTAAACACACACACGCGCGTGCACACACACACACACACGCCTGAAGGGGCAACAGAATAGAAGATATAAAAGGATGGGAGAATGTTCAGAAAGACATTGGGAGTACCACTGTATATGGAACATGAACCAACGAACTCAAGATTCTTTAGAGAGCTATTTTTCTAATCTACTGATGATAATCCTCTGTAGTGGATATAGCCCATGAACCAACTTACAAATGTACCAGAAAGTATGAATACAATTTTCAACTATATCCTTGAGGAGAAAAGACCTTATGAGTATCAAATGGTAATGCCAAATTAACACTGTCCTGTGGTTTCTTACTATGTTCCAAAGCACAGATAATCATGATCCTCAAATTTCAAATGAGTATTTGATGGGAAATCCTGAAAAATTTATCAACTGGAAACTCTTACCAGTATATACTGTATTCAATAAGGGCATGTCATTCTCTCCTCCATATCTACTCTCTCTCTCTAGATATCTCTCTCTCTCTCTCTCTCTATATATATATATATATATATGTATCTATATATATATGTATGCCTAACATATGCACGTATGTACTATATATACACAAATATATGTATTTGTCCTTATTCATGTTTAATAATTATTTAAAATTATTTTAAAATTTATTATTATTAACTTTATTATTTAACATTTTTCAAAATTGATGGAAAATCATAGATTGCTTGAGATTGTGAAGGGAAAGACACAAAACTCTCATGGGCGTAGTTACCAAAGGTTTTTAGATACAGTTTTTTTCCTGATGAAATAATCAAATATTCTACTTTTGGCTGCCTTCCAGTGATCTCCCATATTTTTAATCTGAGTTGTAGAATACCCCAATCTGCAAGTCACTTTCCACAGTTAGCTAGCAGAGCCACTTACCTGGTACTCCTGGTGGTGTTTTCAGGTATTTCCCATTAAAATGTTGAATTACCACTTCACATTTTTCAGTCGACTCCATCCTAGGAAGGAAGGGAAAAGAAGAGATGTTGTTTGAGAGTTGGAGCATACGTGTAAAAATGTGAACCAAGTAGAGGGTGCCACATGTCATCCACCAAATGACCAGGCTAGACAAAAAGAGGACACGTCGAGATTATGGACTTGACCACAAAGGAGATTTCAATCTGATCCCCTCATTTTCTAGATCAGAGACCAAGGACCAGACAGCTTAGTTTGCTGCTCACGGTCATACAAGTATTGAGAGGCAGAGATGCATTTGAACCCAGCCCCTCTAGGTACTCAGAGAGCTGGGGAGGCTTGGGGAAGACTTTGGGAAACTTTCAAATTCGGAAAAATTAGGAAACGTTAAAATTAGGAAAATGTAAAGGAATTAAAATCCATTTAATAAAATACACTGGAGCCAGAACATCCTCATGAATAAAACCATTACAATTATTCAGCTATAACCTTGACCCACGAAAAAACTCCAGAATTGTACGTGGGAAGGTGAAAGGAACAAGCATTTATATAGCACCTACTATGTGCCGGGCAATGTACTAATATTATTTTACAAATATTATCTTATTTGATCTTCAAAGCAACCCTGCAAGGTAGGTGCTTTGAGCATGCCCATTTTACAGTGGGGAAAATTGAGGCATGCAGAACTTAGGTGACTTGCTCAGGGTCACATAGCTAGCAAGTGTTAAGGTAGGAATTGAACTCATGTAGGTATCTAAGGTAGAATTTCAAACAAAGTCTCCTCTGACTCTGAATCCAGGTTATCAGACTATGATACACTGCCTCGTGCCTTATGGTGTCTATTATACATGGTAGGTGATTGATACACGAAGGTGATTTTATTGAAACTGAGGGCATTTTAGAGAGGGGTAGGGATCTAAGCATGGGTGCGCTGGAACCATTAAAATTTAAGTGTGTGCATTTACAACTTTGAAATTGGCAAATATTTCAAATCAGGGCTTGAGGTTTTTTTTTTTATTTCTTGACTTAAAGTAACAGAGAAAATGTCAATAATGGAAATTAAACCTAAAAGTATGTGATTTATACATTTTCTTTTTCTTAAACCTCACTGTTAAGCATTTACTTGAACAGCCCTAGGTATAAGTGGAATCTAGAGCTAGGAACTAATGTGCAGATGAGTAGTGTAATTTGGCCAGAACAGAGGGTTTTTCTGGGTATAGTAGAAAATAGGTAAAGATAGAAAAGTAGGGATCAAGCTGTAAAAGGCCTTGAATGCTATCCCAAGAAGTTTACATTTTATCCAAATAGCAGGAATTTATGAGCTTTGTTCCTTGAGAAATAGTGGATCACTGAAGGTTCAATTAGGAATGTGTTTATTTTGAGGAAGTAAAGTTATTTTCTCACTCTATATTGAGTAGTTTAATCTATTTCATAAGATTTATGTCAGCGTGGACTATCCTATGTAAGCATATATTTTTTTGAACCAGTGCAAACTTCAAATCATCACTTCCAAAATAAAACATATGAGACAACTCTGACAGTAATTGGTACAGAGTTATTTCTTTGGCTTGGGCACTGGAACTGCCCAAGTATCACTATAATGACCTTTTGAGTAAATGCATGGCATTTTCAAAAGAAAAAAAGGCTCAAACATGAATAATGCTCAGTTTAGTTTGAGGATTTTTCCTTTAAGAATCAGTTTTATGTTCTCTTTTCTCATTTCAAAATCCTACAGATATAGGTAACGAGGAAACTGCTTGTGTGTAATGCAGCAAAGCTGGCTACTTAGAGAACAGTTATCGTGGGTAGAATGAGGATAGGAAGAATCACAGTCAGAAATATACAGGAGACAAAATTCAAGTCAGCAACCAGGAATAAAAGTTATGGTCACATGTCTGCAAAACAACCTCCAAAACATTCTGCTTTTGGAGGCTTCTCAATGATCATTGTCTTTGGCTAATGCTATCACTCATCCTTTTACCTGAGAATATATGGATTTAACCTGTCTCTAATTTTCTCCATAGGATCATCAGTTCCCTCGCAAGTACTAAGTTAAAAGGGTATGGAATAAAGAATAAATTTCTTATACACAATAAAGAGTACAGATTAGTCTGATAACCTAGCCCATAAACAATTAAGAAAAAAAGAAAACTTGTGGACTCCAGTTCCTGTTTCTTTTAGGGATGTATACTGATACCATACCTCAGTATGACCATAGGGCTACACTATTACACTCTTTCCTGGCATATGAAAAATGTAAGTTGCTAGATATTCTAATAACACATTCTTCTCATGGGCCTCTGCCTCCTCAGGGACCTCTATTATCTTCCCAAACTTATGACTCCACGGGTAAGTCTCCCCCGATGAGTAAATAACTTATGAGTCACTGCTAGAGACTTGGGCCCTCTCTCTCAGATGTGCGCAGTTGACGTGACTCACAATATCAGTGAAGTTAGGTAAGGCCCAGCTTTGGTCATCGGCATCTCTGATCTGTGCTCCTCAGCTCTGGTTCCCATAAACAGCTCCTACTGAGCATGGTCCAAGACCTCTGCTGCCTGGTCCTCGATCACTCTGCTGCTATGATGGATACTCCTTCAATTCCCAACTTGAAAGATCTCCTTTGTTTGCTCCACATACTTCTCTGACCTGCTTCTGCAGAATCCACAGGAATTCCCTTTCTTTCTCTGGTCTGCACATACCTTGGTGTTGTATGGTTTCTTACTTCTATCCACGGTGAATCAGTACTGCGGCTTTTATTGCTACCATACTCCTCAGGAAAGTGCTCTTTATAGAAAGTTCTTACAATGACACAGCCAGAACCTTTGGGGGAGTTAATAAATTTCCAGCTTTCTTGTTAGTCTGCTGCACAACTCTACCCTGCCCTCAAAGGGTTTCCAAAAGGGTCTGTGTAGATATCTGAGGGCTCAACCAAAAGTCCATAATCCTCACTAATATCTGAATGATGGCAAATGCATTTATCTCTTCTGTCCTCTAAGCGGGGAGTTCCTGATCAGAATCTCCATTTGAGGAATTGCTCATGATGGCAATACCTTTTTCTAACCTGACTCCACGTCTGACTCTCTGGAGTTTGCCTCTGTCTCAGAAACTTTCTTACATTAGAGATGTCACAAATCCTGTGTAGGGTAGCTATTCCCATCAACCCTGTCACAATGATAAAGACTGATATCCGCATTACATACATACACAAGGGATAGGTGATGAGCAAGGTCCACAAGAAATATTAATGCAACCAACAGGCAAATTTGGCCTGATAAACATTATTGAGAATTGGTAGGATAGGACAGTCTCTATGAAAGGAATATGGCTCTAGAAATGTATACTTTTCAAAAGAAACAAGGTGTAGATGGAAAGGTCATTGTGTATTTATAAGGTATAGTTGCTTTTTCTTTTTTTTTTTCTTCTTTTTAATAAGGGGTGACTTTCAGGAAGGAAAGGATAGAGGGGATAATTTAGGTGATGTGAAAACAAAAGATATCAATGGAAGCTCTATTTTTAAAAAGATATACTTATTGGAGAACATTCATGAAAGAGGGTAAAGAGTATTTGGGTTAAGATCAGTGGAGACAGAAAGAAAAGAAACATTGCTGATCAACTAAGGATAAAAAAAGCATTTATTAATCCTACTGTGTGCCAGACACTGAGCCAGTTGTTAAGGATTCAAAGATAAAAGTAGGCTGCCATACATACCAGGGAATGTACACAAGGTGATGGAACTGTATGCAAAGTTGCAAAGATCAAGAAAGGCTAATGTAGACATGGGTGTTTGAGCTCCTAAGAGGCATAGGTTGGGGTGGGTGTATTCCAGGAATGAGGGTTCGGTGATTAATATGACAGTATGGAGTTGGAAAATGGAATGTCAGGTATGAGGATCTTGATAAGAAGGCCATATAGACTGGGCTGTAATGTATGGAAAGGGTATGCGTGTTTAATAAGTCAGAAAAGTAGGCTTTCATGGGTGTATGCTGTAGACTACCTCTACAGAAAGAAGGAAATAGATGAGGAATGTAGGAGGAAAGCTCACAAACCTAATATGCAAACATGATATGAAAGTGATGAGAGATCTGTTATGTGGATATATGCTTGAACAATCTCTTTCTCTCCCTCCCTGCCTCCTCCTGAGTATATACGTATGTCAAACATAAAATGATTAATAATTTCTTGGCTTGCCTAAATCATTCCATCCTTCAAAAGGTTAATGGAATTTCCTACCCTGGGCCTTATTTTTACCAACAAGGAGGAACTAAATGTCGGGGGCATAAATCATGGGGATCTTGAGGTGAGGGGGTGGTGGTGTAAGTATTCTAACAGAATTTGTGATACAGGGGGAAAAAGCCACACATTCTGACACACACTAATTTTTGACAGAATGGATCTTTCATGGACTAAAACTCTATAAAGGAAATTAGCTTAGGGTACCAAGGAAGCATTCAAACATGAAATACTAGAACTACAAAGAGAAAAAAAATCCTATAAGGAGAAAAAGGGAGACTTGACAAAAGAGAGCATGTGACTCTACAGGAAATTCATTGACCAACCTGGATTTGGGAAAATGTACAAATATATGGAAGCAGACACAGCTGATATAAAGTTAAGGTCAACAATAAAAAAGCGGTTTTGTTTTTGTCTTTCCTGTTTTGTGCTATATTGGGGAAGAGTAGAGTAAAATGTAATACCAGACAACTTCTCAGGGTGGAAGTGATTATAATAATTAATGAGAAAGAGAAGAAGGAGATACTCAATCCTACTTCAGAAAGAACTGAACCAAATAGCTAATAGGAAGGCACAACGCAAGGTGAGTAGTGTGAGAATGGGAGAGTGCCTAGATGTTCTCAATGTATTCAAGCCAACATACCAAGGATCAGCAGATGGGATTGTTGATTCACTGGAAGTGATTTTATAGGAAGATACACTGAGAATGGGAAGTTGTGATAACATTGGACAAAGTCAGTTTCCTAGAAGGGTCTGTCAAACATAGCCTAGAGAACTTAATTTCAATTCCTGACAAAATTCTAGAATTAGTTGG